AAACTGTTTGGATGAATTCAATAGAGAGAATTAACGGGAATAAAGGTTATGCAAACGATGGGTACAGAATCACACCAAACCGGTGAGTGAGTTAAACACACACACAGACCGAGCGACACAGACTTTTGAATGCCACACAAATATGTGAAACACTAAGACACACACACATGGACAAATGTGCTTATGCGCCTTTGAGACGATCTTCCACGGATGGTTTGTGTGCGCGGTTTTTATGACGGATACACAAAAATATGCAGGTACAAATCATGGCCGAGATAATTCTGCCCTGATTCAGTTGTACAGTATAGTCAACCAGGATAGGAGACCTTATGCAAATTGCTTAGCCTATACAAGTGAAATGGCTCTCAATATCATCCACATTCACAAATCGATCGATCGATCGATCAATCAATCAATCAATCAATCAATCAATCAATCAATCAATCAATCACATGTGAGCGTTTCGTTGTCCCATACGATATTGGACTGTTTTGTCCGGTTTGAAACACGTTCTTGGTCCATACCTTCTGGTGTACGTTCACTCGCATTGTTTAGGTGGCCGGGGACCGGGCTGTCTGGTCGTGGAGTCACTGATTGCGTGTGGGAATCATGCGATTGGTGGTGCTGTCCACAAACAGAACCAGTTTCAACACATTGATTGCACGTTCCAACGTGTTTCATGTACACCAGGAAATTGATCCAGAGTAAATGATTCTCATGCAAAGATATCATACATGAGGTTGCACCAGCAGCTGAATGCTGAACGGGATGTGTGTGGGATGGGTGGACATCGGTGGTCTGTGGCAAAACGGACAAACGTAGTGACGGGGGAAATGCCGTTTGATCTATGGCTGTTGCTTCCTCGGGGAAATGTTTCAGATGTACCATTTCGGTGGAGTTAGACGAGGTTAGACCGGCTGTATTGGTCAAACGATGTGATTCCATCGGTTGTGCTGGTTCGTTTGATGCTTTCAATTTGGCCGAGAGTTTACGTGCTTTTCGAGCTTGTCTAGCTTGTCTGGCTTTAACGTAACACCGCATTAAAAATTCAAATATTTCACCCAAAGAGATCATGGATAACCCCATCCAAATGGAAAACAAGCCACCAGTTTGAGACATCAAACTGGTCAAGGAGAGCACTTCTTTCTCTTCCACTTTACGCACATCAAAATTCGGTCGATTAATCAATACGGCCAACAGATTACGTTCAAGTAGGTTCACACTTTCTAAAATTCGCACGGCTGCACTCTCATTCCCGGCCTCGGCTAGCTTTTGTGCACGTCGATACACATCAAACTCCGGTCCCTGGAACACTCCTAACCGTCTATTGTGACTCGAATTGAGAAACGTGAGTTGCCAAGCTTTGGTAGGCCACGATGAGGTTGATTGTTCTGCTTCATACGAATAGAAGGCACAAGGCATGGTGCATCCGGACAATACACCATGAAACGAACTCTCGGTCACCGTTCGCTTGCACATGATTCGTTGTAAAAAGTTTTCCGTTTCTCGTGTACACGCCTCAATATCCTCTCGGTCGGATTGACTTCGCAGCACGGTTGCACTGCATGTGGACAGGTTGACAAACCGGGGCAGGCGACCGCATGGTTGCAATCCGGCTTTCTCGTTATACGGATATTCCATCGAGTAGCACCCGCAACGTCGAATGATATCATTCTGGATCGTTGACTCACGACAGGCGTATTCCGAGTAGGCATATTCCGTGTCGTACAGTTGCAAACTTTCCGGCAACTCCGGGGAACAACGCCCGTACGGTGGCATTTTTTGCACATTTTCCACAATCGATAAACGGATCTCGGTGAGCGAGCCCGGTTTCAAATTGATACTCTTGTCGTTCACATTGGGTAGACAGTCAGCGGCGTGGATCACGATCAACGCACCGGACAGCTGGGATTTGACCTCGGTCGAGAAACAGTCCGGACAGAAAGCGTAGTCATTCAACTCGTCCAGATAGACGTACATTTCAATACTGGTCGTGGTGGCACGCAGATCGCGGAACGGTTCAAATGTGGCACAGTTCAGGTATTGTGGATGAATGAATTTACGCCATCGACCACGAGTATCACATCTAGCCGCAACCGGCTTACTGCCATTCAGATATGTCATCTGTGATAGAATGGATGAAAAAAGGGTGAATAAAAGGATGCGAATGAGTAGATCGATACACAAGAATAGGAAGAGTGCACTAATTGTTACGATTGTCGTGGATGATATTGTGAGAAGTTCAGTCACCCCTCGGTAGGATTCGAACGCACGGACGACGCCTACGCTATTGTACAGCGCACGAGCTACCAGCTGCGTGAGCTACGAGGCCATACCGACAGGCCACTGATCTTTTCACATTCGAATCAACCGTCTCACTTACATATGCGTATATGACATCCACCAGGTAGTTATCATTCTCAGAAGTGGGTCATAGACAGAACTATTTGAGACTAAATATCAAGAAAGATAAATAAAACAGTGGGTCTCAGTAGGTTGCATGCAATCAGAATGAAGTCTTGAATGGTTTCACGTATTCTGACTCACTGAAGTTATTTGAAAGGAAAATAGATGTCTGTGTGGTAAAAGATCCGTAGTTGTGTGAAATTTTATTTTAACTCAATTAAAAATTAAACATGATTCCAGTAGATAGAAAAAGCTAAAGCTCCAGCGAGTACAAAATAAAATACGGTGTATTCGATCCTACCACACCTTCCATATCTGGGGTGCCATTTTATGTCGTTTCTAAATTTATTTTCTCGTGCGTTTTATGCCATTTTACTTACTGCTCCCCCTTATCTTACCCTGTTTATTGTCTAAGAATTTCATACTGATCAGACGCTGTCTGAAATGCATTTCTCAAAATGGAGCAGTAGCCCATGAGGCGTTGGTTGGCCCAATTGTCAACCAACACCTGTAGGTGTGCGACCGTCTGTGTGACTGCATCTTGTCCGATGCATCACAGCATTTGCACTCAACCTTTTCTCGCTCCTTTCCGACTTCCGTCAGCAGCAATAAATTCGAACCTTTATACACTCGTNNNNACTCGTACCACAGCTTTACGCAATTCTTTTGTACCGTAGCTTTCACGTTTATTGATATCCGGGGAACAAATATCAAACGAACTGTCAGGTAAGCTTCACGCCACAATTTTTTCACTATTTTGCTACACGTTCTCTTGTTCCACCTCAAAATATCTTTGGTCTAATTTTTTAACTCAGTTTAACCTCATGTATGTCAAACCAAAACTGATAACATTGTTTTCCGGTTGTGGTGAATGTGAAAAGATCAGTACTCTGTCGGTGTGGCCTCGTAGCTCAGCTGGTACAGTAGAGCATGCGCGTACAAAGGATAGGCGACGTCCATGCGTGGGTTTGGCATTCCACCGAGGTTACTGGACTTTTCACAATCTGGACATAAAAACATTGTTTTCACTGAAAAATTCTTTTCACACTGGACGAGTAAAGTGCACTCTTGACTGGAATTGACTAGAACTGATCACGCTGCACTAGTCACAGATTAATGTTGCTTTTGAAGTCACTGGATGATTTGTTTAGAGATATTCGCAGGGATTAGGTCCCACTTACTGTTTGAACAGATAACACTGTATTTCGCCAGGGGTAAGGGTAATTTGTTTCCACATGCATAGGTACGTGATACTGTTACGTTTCATTTCTATTTGTGGTCACTTAACCTTGATGAACGATTTTTATTCTCAAAGAGGAGTCGTCAGGACCGTTATTATATACAGTCGGTTTGATTACATAGGCCTCTAGTCATGTGTATGCTTCGGAAACTTGATCACCGGGATGTCTTTGTGCCACCGATCATCCGGCTACATTTTGAGTTTGAATGCAGCCCAGGGAAAATGCTGACTAGATCCTATGTGTTACCTGATCGATCTGAAGGCCTTACAAGGTCAGTTACAGTGGCACACCAGGCTAGCGATAAAGATCCAGCAGTTAAATAAGTCATAATGTAAATTTCGATCAGCTTTGTGAGCTTATAAACATGGAATTCAGTATAGTGAATATGGTTATTGTTGTGGCGTAAATTTCATTGATACGATTGTTATGCGTGCCTTTGGCGGGACGATTGATTTATCCATTTATTGATCTGCCGATTCGTTCGTTGACTGTTTGAATACCTACCTGCTTGACCACATACGGAGGTTGTGTGATGTTTGAGGCGTTTGTTGATCTTCCTGCTTGCCTACTTGTTGCAGCTTGTGCTTGCTCACCAGTTTATGGATCAGCTACTTTCGTAGTATCTAACATAAGTCTGTTGCATATTTGACTGTGTATTTATTCACTTATTTAGAGGAATACATCAGTAATGAACAGAACAAAAATATGCGAACTTAAAATGCGAAAGCATTTTGTCCCTCTTGTTCGATTTCGATCATTCGTTCATTCCTAAAACTCGCCTTTTAGGTATTTTTATTAATTTATCTTTATATTTTCAATCAAGTCATAGACATGGAGACAGATGAGTTTCGGTCCACGAAACAACGCTTGTGGTGAGGACCGAGGTTCAAACCCCACTTGGGTGGATGGATTCACACTACTGATAAGAACCAGTGAGTTGCAAATCGCTGTGTACAAGGAAAATTAGATTGGAAGTTTACCTTTTCGTTGTAAAAACAGGTTTTCTAATAAGTTTGTAATCACAACTGGAGCTTTCTTGATCTGTGATCACTGTATGATGGGATGAAGGAACTACGGTCATTACTCTTCATCAAAGTCAATTGGCGAATGTGTGGAAATAGCAATATGGACAATGTCCGTTATCATGATAGTTTAAAGGGTCTGCGTTCGAGTCTCGTATCCATCGGATTACCTTACATTGTTCTGCAAGTGGCTGCCAGGGAGCTCTCGGAAGATTGCAAATACAACTGCGGAACGACAAAGCATTCATGAATAAACTCAGGTTATAGGTCACTCACTCTGTCGTAAAGAAATATCACATAATACAATGGGGATAATGTGACAGCCCTCAACCCTTACACTAGGGACCGAAAGCCCACCATTGTTCGCATTTATCCCATTCTAACAGTCCCCTGTTTTAGTCTATCTGAATGCACGGTGTGTATTGTTAATTTTGTTTCGGTCTCACCTGTTGGCTTATCTTTCATTTTATCTCCTAGTTGAGTATGGTGTTTAATGATCAGTCGTGAGCACTGGGCAACTGTTCTGTCCCTTATTGGAACTCATCATCGGCAGTGAGTGAGTACCCTTCTGGTCTCCATTGTGCACCAATATTCTGGGAGATTCATTTGGGGTTCGAAAAACAAAAGTGACTCGTTTCCATGTAACCACGTCAGATTCAACTGTTCAGAAGTGCTTTCGCAAACATACAATCAGCTATTTGTCGATTCCACAAAGCTACACAATGAGTATTCTTGTGCGGTACAAACTGTTTTCAACAAGACGGGGATTAGTGTTTTTCGTCAAGACTAAGTTAATTCGGAAGAAATGCTTCAGTCGGACACCACATTGGTCTGGTATCGTGTGCACACTCACCTAAATGCCTGTCTGAGATAAGAAAACGAGGGTGAGCGACCTTTTGCCCAAAATATCCTGGTTACGACTAATGCACTGATACGGTTGTATCGATCTCAACTTAGAAATCGAAATGGGAATACGCAATCACAAAAATGTGTTTCTTTGATACAAAGCACATCAAATATTGCCTGAGAAAAGTGAGATCTGGGGAAATTAAATTCAGATTGTGGAACAGTGTACACAGGGTATGCTCTATTTTGATCCTCTTCTCTAATTCGATAGTCTGGGTAGAATCAGATTTCTCATTTGTATTTCACCAAAAGCATCGTCACTTATTGATTGAAGTGGAGGTGCCATACTGAAAACAGCGTTCACTCGTAAAGTGTTCAATCTCATTCTATATTTGTAAATAATCCAGTTGGCTATGTTCATGGATTCAGATAAAGTTTGATAGACAGTTTCATCGACAAGTGACTACCGATGAGCGAGTGAGCCAGTATGGGCCGTTGGGAAGACGTTGGTAATGTACGTTTTCACACACACACACAGACACACACACAAACACACACTTTCATGAGCGTAAACCGAATGATTGGGCGTTTGGTTTAGAAAAATCAACAGTGGCAAGGGCGGATGATGTGACCCGTTCCGTAACTAATACAGTTCGACTACGGGTACTTGTAAATTGTACAAATGACAACCGAGCGGCATCGTTTGAAGCATCTCATTACACAGTGAATTGACGGATGTGTATTTGACAAAACAAACGTTTCAGGGTCATTTATTTCTTTATCATTTTTTGAACTATCACGCGTCACAATAAACAACAATTTCAGCATGTTTTCTAAGTGGAGGACAGACAGTAATGCACAGCCCAATCATCTGTATCTGAAGTCACATGAGAAATACAGATTTGAGCATCATAAAGTTTTGAATTGCTTGTAAAAATCGATAGATTTAACGTCTTCTCCAATTAAAAAAGGCGTCGAATTTCATTTCATTTTTGAAGGCCATTTTATAATTGTATTACAGAGCAAAATCCTAGTTTTGGGTAAAATGAAGCTTTTTCCCCTGAAACTAAGAAAAGACGGTGTGATATGTGCGAACATTTTATTGCTACTTTTGTTTGAGGTAGCAGTTTGTGACCCCGGAATCCTGCATACATGAGCACGGCAAGATGTGAATTGTAACAAGCTGCTTCTGCTTACCCGAAGGGGGAAGGTCCATTGTTTGAACTGCAGTCATCTTGACCGTGTATAATATGATAAATTGGAGTAGTTTTGATAGCAATTTAGGCTTATGGTGATTTGTACAATCACAGCTTGATCAACAATCGCTAAATTTTGTGTCTCCAATAGTCCGCACTGTCACCGGTTCGGATACCTGAAGGTTTTTTTTTAACTGATAGGGCGATGTGGATGTGGTCTGTCTGTTGCCGGTTTATCTTGGTTCGGCTGATTTAGCTGGCTATGCAAATGGATGCAGATCAGAGTTGGGGGTATGTCTTATGTACTGTGAATACAATGAATATCGTGTTCCATATACCCGTAATACACACGTTTGCTTATTACCCAGATAATTGCCAATGCAGATCTTCTGAAATAGATTCAGTTACGCGAAAGAGAGTTCTAGGCACCCAGATTTTTTTTAATTTGGATAATTGTGTGTTTTCCAATCTTGTAGTGATGGATGAAGATAGATCATTACCACACCGACGGGTTATTGTTAGCAGTGCTGACCTGTCGTAGCTAAGATGAAGACAAACATCCATAACAAGTCACTTTGCACAAAGAAGGTGAACATTGTCGGAATATACCAGTATTACTCATTGTTAGAAAACACAACGTGGCGAACAAGCTCGTCTACGGTGATACTGTTACAGGCTGATACATCCAAATGTATATCAAACTGTTTAGAAGGGGGGAGAAATCATTACAATTTGGAAATTGAGCTAATCAACATTCCAGTTTCATTACCGGTTTTGGTCATGAAAGACCGAGTGTTTTTACGAGCATAAAAAGAGGGGAGGATTATGTGGGTGGATACCGATCGGTTCCGCTGTGACCAAAATGCGATTCCCAATCCTCATAGGGTGTGAACTAAGTAGAGGGCTCGAAACGCCTCGGCCACATTATCTACCAAAGGTTTTATTCCACTGGGTGTAAAACGATTGAGGGGTTGATGGTCTTAATTGCTACAGTGTTAACCCAAGCCGGGTGGGGCTCATGGACTCGTTCAGATAAACTGCTGCTCGTGCGGCCAATGTACCTTGCCCCACAGAAACAGGTAAGTTAGTACGCACACACAGAAAGAGACGGCCGAAACAGGCAATTTATCTTTGAGTTTAAGGCACAGACGTGACCTGGAGATGAACACAGTATTCAGTTTTGCTGCTTTTTATAAAACAATACTCAGCTTACGTGTCAACATATCGGCAGTTATGTGGCCCTTGAAAGGCAACGTTATGTAAACGGGTTTCTTCTC